GTCTGATGCGTGTTCCTCTACCCTTCCCCAGCCCACCTCTGTCCTTGCTCAGTGCACGCCTCTTTTACACTCCTGGGTCTAGTGATAAACAAATCCTTCTTGGTTCCAGCTGAGTTCCCACCCCTCTAATCTTTTCCTTTCTCTCCTTACTTGAGTTTGCTGTCTGGAGATTGTGGTCACAGGTCCAACATGAGATCCTCTTGGCACTTCTCTGTGCAGTCCTGGACACTGCTTTGCATAAAGCAACAGCTTCTTTGGGGCCAAAACAGAAAATACCCTTGCACTCACCAGCACTAGTCTTCCTTACCTGTCCATCTGCACCACTTTGTCCAGCCCTGTCTGTGCAGTGAGCTTTCTCTGAGGTGCAGGTGCTGTGATCCCGTACTGGCACATGTGGTGGTGTTTGCCATGGTGCCACCAGCCATGGAAGCTCGGGCTGCTCTCTCTGGAGGAGTGTCCCAGTGACCTGCAGCACTGCTTGGCTCTGTTCCTCTCCTGTCCACCATTTCTAGTGCTCCTGAATCTCTTGGGTCAGCCCAGAGCCCTGTGCTTCCCAGCAGCTGAGGGTGTAGGGAAGGCTTTCATGCCTGTACAAGGAGAGGTTTGGTTTGTGGAGGTCTGTGGAGCATTGTTGGCAGGTAGCTGGGGAAAGGAGGATAAGGAGGGGCAGCTTTGTGCAGCATTTAACTGCCCTGCTTGCAGAGCTGGAGGCATTTCTGGGTCTTGGCTTCCTGAATTCTGGGTACTCTGTCAGAAAACATCCCTTCCCCCCCTTGGTGAAGGAAACAGGACCATTCTGCTGGGGCTGCCCATGGAGCTCGATGGCCTGCAGAAAGGTTTTGGGGCAGGCCCAGAGAAGGGATGTGGGAGTCCTTCATCTGGAGCTGTACTTTTTGATTCAGTGTATTTCTCAGTACAAGGACAAGGCTAATAGTGCTGCTGTGATCAAGTTAATCTGATTTTTTTCTGGCTTTTATAGCCAGGCACCAGGTCAGCAGTGGAAGGAAAATCAGCAGGCACCTGAGAAGCCAGAGGGTAACTGTTTGGTGGGCAGAAAGCACGTAGGATGTTTTGTAATGCAGGCAAATGCTTGTGTGGTGCTGTGGCTTGCCATCATGCTGTGGCTGTGAAGCACGTGGGGAGCTCTGGCAGGGTCAGGTGGTGAGGCTGGCAGGTCACACTGCTCCTGACTCATGCCCACCAGAGCGAGGGGTCCAGGTGCATGGCAGGGAGAGATGAGCACGTGCTTGTCCCTCCACTGCTGTGCTGCACTGAGTGCTGCATGGGATGTGTTCATTAAACAGGCTGACAGCTCACATTCAGCCACACAAGGTATCAATGAAAGCTAATTTTTAAAGCACCCATTTTTAAGCCCCCAGACAGACTGCAAGGGGCTGAGTGCTGCTGGGAGAGTCCCTCTTCTGTCCACTCTCCTTGGCCCCAAGTCTTGAGATACATGGAGCAGCAGGTGCTGGGATGGACAGGCTGAGAGACTGCTTTGATATGCTTTGAGTTCTGCTCTTGGCTTCCAGAGGAGCTGATGATGTCCTTGTGCCTTTTACTGCCTGCCCCCCTCTTGCCTCCCATCACCTTGGGCTCACCCAAGCTTCATGGGCACTGCAGCACTCAAAGGTCAGCTTCTCATCATCCCACAGCCCTGCTGTGGCTCTAAGAAATGAGCTCCCTTTCACAACCCTGCTGATCCCAGTATCTGGAAAAGCCTCAGGATCATGCTGGAGGACAAAGAAATATGGTTGTACCCAGAATTCTGTCACACAAGCAGAGAGAAGTTGTTTCAAGCAGGATCTGGGACTCAGCTCATAGCCCAAATGGCAGCAAGCAGCCACCTCTGCCTCTTTCCTTTTAGTCTCAGACAAGATTGCAGTGTGGAAGCTGCTAGAAGGCCAAGTTATGCTTTGTTGCTTTCCCATGCTTACTTGATAATTTTCCCTACAAAAAAATGTTTAATCTGCCTGACCACTTTATGGATTGTTCACAAAGTTTATTTAAAGTCCCGTATGCACTGATGTGTTGCTGTGCCAGAAATGCTGCACCCTTACAGTGGCTTATTGTTCTCCATTTTGTTACTGTGTCAGTGCATATTGGCAAAGTAAATCAACTGCTTCAAAAGGAAATTAATTTGCTTCCTGCCTTTATATGTTTGTCTCCCATCTTGGGGAGGAGGAAAGAGTTTCAAAAGTCACAAGGAATATAAATAGAATTAAGATGCAGTGAAATACCTATCTGCCTGAGCTTCTTACTGTACAAGGGTCAGAAGTGCCCCAGTATGTCCTGTTGCAGAGAATGGTGTGCACTGGGCTTGCTGCTAGAGGGAACTTGGTCCAGACAGGGTGATTTGGCACTCCCCTGAGTGCTGTGTCACCAGGCAGCCCTGTCCTGGCCCTGGACTGGGGAGAGCCTGGCACAAGGCTGGATTTGAGCACTGTATGTGGGAGCAGCTTTCCTGTGCCAGTGAGTTGCTGTCCACCCTCACTTCCTCCCAGGACTGCTCAGAGTGCATGTGTGGTGTTTCTTGTCCCCACGCAGCTCATCACACTGATTCCCCTGCAGAGCCATACAAGGGAGGAACTGCAGGTCTGCTTCCCTTCTCCCAGTCCTGTCCAAATGACAGTTCTGCCTGCTCTGAAAGCTGCCCGGTGGAGAAGGACCTGGTAGTGCTGGTCAGCAGTGGCTGAATGTGAGCCAGATGGCCAGGAAGGCCAATGGCACCTGGCCTGTACCAGCCACAGTGTGGGCAGCAGGACCAGGGCTGTGGCCATCTTCCTGTGCTGGGCACTGCTGAGGCCCCACCTCAAATCCTGGGTGGCAGCCTCATCCAAGAAAGACACTGAGGCACTGGAGTGTGTCCAGAGAAGGGCAACAGAACTGGGGAAGGGTCTGGAGTACCAGGAGCAGCTGGGAGGGCTCAGCCTGGAGAAAAGGAGGCTCAGGGGAGACCTTCTGTTTATCTCTCCCAGACAGGAAGGTGCAGCCAGGCGGGGGTCAAGCTCTGCTCCCAGGGAAGAAGGGACAGGATGAGAGTAAACAGCCACAAGGTGTGCCAGAAGAGGTTTAGATTGGACATTAGGGAAATTTCTTAATGGAAAGGGTTGTCAGGCATTGGAAGTGGCTGCCAGGACAGTGGTGGAGCCACCATCCCTTGAAGTGTTCAAAAAATATGTGGATGACTTGAGGACATGGTTTGGAGGTGGCTCTGGGTTGATGGTTAGACTTGATGATCTTGGAAGTCTTTTCCAACCTTAGTGATTCTGTGATTCTTTGAGGTTTTCTTCTGGCTGTCTGCCCATCAAGTCATGCTCCAAATGGCTTTAGAATCAATGAAAGTTCCTTGACTGTTACCACTGAAATGTTCAGATTATTCAGGTCACATCCCTAAAATGCTGTGGTTATGAGTCTTCCCATGTGGAATTTTGGGCCGGGCTCATTCCTGTCACTGCAGCATCCTCTCCTCTGCTCATGACCAGCTCAATGTCCCATCCCAGGTGCTGTAGAACCTACTGTTCCTGTGACTGTGGCTCTAACCAGCCTAGCCACCCCCCTACTCCATGCCCAGGTTTCCCAGCTGCCCCTTCTCTCCCATTTCCACAAAGGTTGGCTGTGCTTCCAGTCCCATTCTTGCCCTCTTGCTGTGTTTTCCTGAACATCCCTGCTGCAGTTAAATCTGCACTCACCTCTGTGCCCCCTGCCTTGCTTCCCTCTGAGCCCCCACTCTGCGTGCCTCTGGCCAGCCATGTCCTCAGGTTACCTCTGCTGAGGTCTCAGAATTTCCTGCATACCTGTCACCACCACTTCTGTATTGCTCCTTAAAGGGTGCTTTCTGATTAGGAAAGGAGCTTTGTGTGCACAGTTCCCAGGTGAGTCCCTTCCCATGCTGTCTGTTCCAAAGCAGGTACTGTACAGTTGGATTGGTCTGACAGCGCAGACCCTAATAGTCTCTTCCCTGCTTTGCCTGTGCTTTTTCAATAATATTCTCCAAGTTTTATTTAAAAATAAAATTAAAAAAATCCTGAATGAGGCAGTCATCTTTGTGAGGAGAAGAAGGAAGAATCTGCAGGCCAGCACACACAGATCCCAGTAAAGACGTGCTGTAACAATTTGGTATCTGTAGGAACCACAGCTTCTTGCTATTCTAAAAAAAGGAAAGGAAAGGCTAAAAATAGCATAATCCTAGGAAAATAGAACAATTGCTGTTGCTGAAGTTAAGTATCTAAAATGAACCCACACTGGAAGCAAGTCAGGACTCCCAAAAAGAAACATTTGGAAATTACCTGTGAAACTCCAAAATGCTGTGATTCTCCCACAGGAACCTAAGGGCTAGATTTGGGGCAGATGCTGTTATAGCTTGGCCTTGCTGCAGACCCCAGTGCCCCTGTTTCTGACAGCTCCTTCACCAGTTAGAGTCCTGGGTCTGTTTCTGTTGAAGTTTAGTCCAAGACCTGTCAGATCCATATTAAGCTAGGCTTTACTGAACTCATGTCCTGCAGTCCCTGCTCCTCACTACTCCAGAGGAGAACCCAGGAGCCTCTGTATTCATGACTGCCTTTCCCTGTATATGTTCATTAACTGTTTCTTCCATTTCCCTTGTTATTAAACCTAGACTTGACACTCTGTGGTTCCCTTTAGGAGAAGGCTGATGTGAGTCAGACTGCACTGGCTGTAACCTGTGCGAGAGTTGTGAGAGAGACTGTAACCAGTGTGAGGGCTGTGAGAGACTCTGTAACCAGTGTGAGGGCTGTGAGAGAGTCTCTAACCAGTGTGAGGGTTGTGAGAGAGTAGGTAACCAGTGTGAGGGTTGTGAGAGAGTCTGTAGCCAGTGTGAGGGTTGTGAGAGAGTCTGTAGCCAGTGTGAGGGTTGTGAGAGAGTCTGTAGCCAGGGCTGCAGCTCCTCTGTGAGGAGCACAGTGCAGGCAAGAGCTCCCCAGCTGCCTGCCGTGCTCCTGCCTGTCACAGGCTGATCCCCCTCTCCATCCTTCCCGCAGTGGCTGAAGGACCCCGGGCCCCGCAATGAGAAGAGGACGCTGTTCTGTGACATGGTGTGTTTCCTGTTCATCACTCCCCTGGCGGCCATCTCGGGCTGGCTGTGTCTGCGCGGGGCCCAGGACCACTTGCAGTTCAACAGCCGGCTGGAGGCCATCGGACTCATAGCACTCACTATAGCACTTTTCACCATCTACGTCCTCTGGACACTGGTAAGTGCCGGCTGCCAGGGTCCTGCTGGCTCACACCTCATCAGTGCCACCTGCTGTCTCTGCCTCCCCGTGTGAGAACACCTTGGGCTCTTCCACTTGAATGTCCATTTAGTTGTCTTCATGTGCAAGCTGCTGAAGTTGGTGCTGAGAATGGAAAATCACCTCCTGGTCATCTGCTTTCCAGACTGTCACAGTGTTCCCCAAGCGTCAGAACCCAACCAGCCACAGAGTGCTGGAGCTGGGATGGGGCTGGGGCTGAGGCTGGGTGTGAAGAGCTTGGGGCTGGGTCAGGCAGTGGCCCATTTGTAGTTCAAGAAGAAACACAAATGTGGTACCTGGGCAGTGCAGGGGAAAAGTAAAATGTGGAACACATTTGACTAAATAATTTACCACCACATCCCTCTGTGCTTTTGCTGCTCAGCACAGACTGGCCATGCCCAGCTGGGGTGCAGACTGGTCTTGGAGGTCTCTGGCCACAACTAAACAAACTCCTATGCAGTATTTTTAAGGTGTGTGCAAGGAACTCTGGCCCTGGGGAAACCTGTGGCTTCTGTGGTGCTGGGTGGTGTGGTTGGCCCTGAGTCAGGGCTTGGTAGCCAGTGTGCCCTGGCCCATTGCTGCATGGGGGCTCTGGGGGTTGCTGGGAGCCTGCACGTGAGCCAGTCTGGGTGTTGAACTGATCCCTGCTGGGAGAGAGCTTCCTGCAGATGCCTTGTTTGGCATTTCTGGATCGTGCTGAATTAGGGGGCGAGGAGCTTGTATCTTGCAGAGAGCTGAGAAGAGCAGGACAGTGAATGCGGGTTTGGGTGTGGCACAAGAGAAGCCTCAGTGGGGCTGCCTGGTCCCTCCCCAGGGCCCCAGGGCTGCTCTCTCCAGGGGCTGCTAGGCAGGGACTTCCCTCTGTTTCCCATTCACTTCTCTTGTCTTGTGTTGCTGGGTGGACTTCTGGGTTTGGATCTTATTTTGGCTCTCCTGTTCTAAGCAAGCCTTTTGTGTGCTCATGCCCTGTCAATGCCCTTTTCCAGCTGCTTGCTGGGAAACATCATTTTGGGAAGGAAAGAAGTGCACTTGATGCCTGAGAAATAGTGGGATCCCAAAAAGCTGGGAGTCCTGTGGGCAAAGGAAATTCCCCAGTCCATTTCCTTGTTGTCTCGTGTTCCAGTTTCTTGGAGTAACCCCTTCCCCTGGGGCTGGACACTCCTTACAACTCTCCCCTGCAGACTTGGGAGCCAGGGCAGGATGAGCTGGTGCTGCAGCAGCCCCCACTCTGGGGGCAAAGCTGGAGGCACTCCTTGCATGGGAGCCATGGAGGAAAGTTTCCATGCTGCATGTTCTGCATGAAGCTTGTTTCCATAGGAAGCCAAGCTAAAATTGGAAACCTTAAGAGGAAGTGTTTCCGTCTTCTCTATCTCAGGACTGGTGGGGAGGAGCTGAAAACCTGGAGGAAATGGAAAAATGTTTGTGCAGTAACAAGTCCTGACTAAAATGGCTCTAATTCTGCTGTGCTTCACTTTTCCTTGAGCAGAGGAGGACATTAGGTGAAGCCCCTTTCTTTATATTCAGCTCGTTCATCCCTGGTTCATCGTGCAGTACAAGTGGCCAGCATGTGGGAGGGGGTTCATGGCTGTGACCAGTGTGAGCGTTGTGAGAGAGTCTGTAGGCAAGGCTGCAGCTCCTTTGTGAGGAGCAGGAGCCTTCTTTGAGGTTCCCACCATTAGCTCCCCATTCTCTGAAAACTGGGAGATGAGTTTGTCAGCAAACAGTCTTATTGCCACAATCCCTCTGCACAGGAAGGAGGGGTGTACACGAAACAAGCTCAATTACCTCAGTGCCACAGTGGCACAACTTCATTTCTCATAAGATGTCTCGTAGACCCATCCAGAAGTAACAGTTTTACTGAGTTTTCTGTGTCAGATGCACTTCCTGGTACATCCCAGTTGCCAATTAAATGCTTCCTGTAAGAAGGCCTGGTTTAGATCAGTGGCTGACTGGATTCGGTATTTAAGCCAAGCTCAAAGCTCCCCTCGCAGGGCTGCTCTGAAACTGCAGGGCCAGCTCCTGTTTCTGCTGGGCTGCTCTGGGTCCCTCCAGCCTTTGCATCCTCCCCTGTCTCCCTCCGGGTGGACAAGTCTCCCAGGCCACGATGTCAGGAAAACATGAGTCCAGCTGCTGTCCTGTTGTTGCAGACAAAGGAGGGAAGGTTTTTGTGCAGGACGAAGAAGGTCCCCTGGGGTCTGTGAGATGGGAGGAGGCTGGTTGGGTTCAGACCTTTCTTTTGCTCACTGAAGGTGCTGGCTGCAGCCCGGGGCTGGATGAAGGGCCGAGTTGCAGCTCATCCCACCACATTTCACCAGCCCGGACCCAAACCCAGCTAAGCAAACCCCATCCCACTCTGCTGGTGCTGCCCAGAGGGCGCCTTTGGCTGTGCCCCACTCAGCCTGGTGTCACCAGGAAGGGATTGCTTGTCAGAGGCTGGGGACACAGAGTGCCCCAAACCTGCCGGGGGGTCAGTGCTGTGTCCCTCGCCTCAGGATGAGGGGTCCCAGAGGCAGAGGGGTGCGGGGTTGGGCTGTCCCTGCTCTGTGCGCTCCGGAGCGAGGCGCGGGGTTGGTGACACTGCTGCCTTCTCGCCCGCCAGGTCTCGTTCCGCTACCACTGCCAGCTGTACTCGGAGTGGCGAAGGACCAACCAGAAAGTCCGCCTGATGATCCCTGCCTCGCGGAGCCCCCAGCCCCTGCCCCACTCCCTCCTCTCCGCCAAGCTCATGAAGAAGGCGGCGGATGAGACCACGGTCTGAGCCGTGCCGCGGCCGGCCAGGGTGGCCCAGGGACCCTGGCAGCTGTGGGGGCACTGGAAAACAATCATCCCACCCAAAGGGACTCTGTGCTCAGCACGTGCTTTAGACCTTGGCAAAGAGACACATAATCAGCATCTGTGGGTGAAATGGCCCAAAAGAGCCTGATGGCAGAAAATGCCTGTCTGCAGGGACACTTTCCTATAACGAAATACCATACATGGAAAACATCTCCCTCTATATATATATCTATATATAATATTTTTTAATGGCCATGCATATTGTGTTTCAATCCTTTTGTGTTGATGTTCTAAGCTTCAGGATAGAAGCTGGCAACCTGATCTCATTCAGAGGTTAAATCAATGCCTTTTCTCCAAATGATCATATGAGGAACACTTTTCATCAACCATTCTTGAAAGTCCCCTTATCCTTTGCACTAAATTGGTTTTGATATACTGCAGCAGCCTTCCCGTTACTCTTTGGTCTTTTTTGTGGTGTTCTGTCCTTTCTAGAAAGCTGAGTGTTTTTAATAATTATTATAATCCCAGAAGGAGTAAAATGACATAATACTGAATGGAGACATTTTGTATTGTAAAGTACTGTAATTTTGAGAATTTCAAAATCAGTTTCAGAATGAGAGAATCTTTTCCGGTGCAGACATGATCTCACAAAATGCTTTCCTTGAGATCCTGGCTTATCCCCAGGACTCGGATGCACTCAGCCCTTGGTCTGTCTGGCAAAGGTAGATGGAGGATCCGAGGGTGGGAAGAGATGGCTCTGTACTAGCTAAACCCACCATTGCCTTTTGCTTTGAAAAGATTGAGAAAGGAGCTTTCCTGACCCCAGAAGGTGGGAGTTGGAGTTTCTGTTTGCTGATGTCCTTTTGCCAGCTTGAGGCTGGACCTCCTGTAGCATCAGTTTCACATGTACCTTAGGGGACAGGCCATGCCCTGGCAGGACGCAGGTGCTCTTGGCTGTCTCTGCACTTTATTTGCACATTCCAGAGGAGCTGCTGGGATTGGGTTCATCCCTGGTAGTGCTGCCTGCCTGTTGTGTCCTCTAATGAAACACCAACCCAGTGTGTTGGTCCCAAAGAACAGGCTCTGGGTCCCTTGTCCTGTGGGGCCGGTGTTCCTCCTTCTCCTGCTCCTTTCACCTGTGTTTCCAGTACATGCAGCTCTCAAAGCCCTCTGTCTGACAATGCCCCCTTTGCCAAGAGTCTCCCTGGTTTGGCTTTGGTCCTTGCCTCTGCCACGTCACCCTGCCAGACAGTGCCTGGTGCTGAGCTTTCCTGAGTGGCACAGGCTGTGAGGACACTGGTGGTGCTGCTGCCCTGCCAGGGCTCCAGAGCTGTGTGCAGCTGCTTTGCTGGAGCCTGGGCTCTGGCTCCATGGTGGTGAGGGTAGAGAGCAGGCAAGAGGCAGGCTCCGAGAGGCCTGTGTCCTTGCAGTGCATGGTGGTGGTCGTGCACTTATCCCTCTGCCCCTTTGCTGAAAGCAAGTGGGTCAGTGCAATGCCCTGTGAGATGGAGATCTGTAATTTCCTGAATTCAAAGCACCATGAATTCAAGTGCACCTCCTCCTCCTCCTCTTCCTCCTCCTCCTCCTCCTCTCTGTCTGCAAAGCAGGATGTGTTTCCTTGTGTGTTCCCTCAGCCTGAGCTGGTAGTTGCTGAACAGCAGGGACCAGTGTGCTGTCTTGCCCAACAGGATTGCTCCAGCCCTTGGCCCTGGTGTCTGCTCTCCTCTGTTCCCCCTCCCAGGTGCAGCTTGGGGATACCCTGACACATCTTGCAGCAGCCTCTCTGTGCCCTGAGGGCTGCTCTGAACTGGTCTCTGTTCAAGCGTGAGGGGCTGGTGTGACTGTGGGGTGAATGTCCTCTGCTGCAGCCAGGCTGCACATCTCTGCTCCCCTCTCTCGGCCAGCCCCCCAACTGTCCCTTCCCTTCTTCCACATACCTGGGGTGTCTGCCCTTTTCCCAGTCATGCACTCATGCAGGGATTACTCTGCTTCTGGTACTCTTGGTGGAGAGGCTGCTGCAGCCCAGCTCCAGTCACAGTCCCTGCTCCAGTCCCATCCCATTCCCATGCAGGTGCTCCCCACCCTGCACACCCTTCCATAGCAGCAGGCTCTGCACCACTGCTCTGTGCCTTGTCCTGAGTGCCCATTCCTTCAGCCCCTTCCCAACAAACCCCCTGTCACCAGGACATCACCAGTGAAGAAAAATGGAGGGGTGGTTTAACCTTCCCAGCCCTGGCTGCCTCCCAGGAGCTTGGCCCCACAAGGCACCGAGTTCTGCAGATGAGGGATGCTCTCTCCCATTGCATGTCCCCAGGGTAAGGACTTCATGGAGCCAATGTTCCAGTTAAGAAACCCACCATCAATCCAAATATGCAACTGTGAAAGCCAGAAGCCCTTGGCTGGGGCAGTGGGGGCCCAGTCCTGTCTGTGGCCATGGCTGCACTCAGCATCCTTGGCTTTGCTGTCATTGCCAGAAATGGGAACTGTTGCATGTGCCCCCACAAGACCCAGTAGTGACTCTTTGAGTCTTGTCCTCCTTCCCAGAGGTGTTCAGCTCGTGGATGTGGGCAATTGGTGTCTGACCCACCACGTTCCAGTGCGTTCTGGGGAAATGGGCTGTGCAATGATGTAAATAAAAGTGAGACAAACTTTGGGCTGTTGTGTTGTTATTGGAGGGTGCCAGGGCTGCAGAGCTCAGGCTGCCTCCCTGAGAGCACCCTGGTAGCAGCTGCCCTGGCCAGCCCCCAGGGCCCCAGCAGAAGGTTTTGAAGTTGGACAAAATCCAGGGCCTTTTTTTATTTCTGGGCAGTTTCTCTGTCAGTGGACAGAAGCCTGTCTGGCGTGGGCCAAGCAAGGCAATGATGTTTGGGCCAAGTCAAGAGTCTTTAGGCCCCTGGTGTGTATGGGGCTGCATAGAGCAGCCCCGATGGTGCCACCCCACAGAGGCTCCCTGTGAGCTGCCTGACCCAGGCCTGTTCTCTGTCAGTGGACAGAAGCCTGTCTGGCGTGGGCCAAGCAAGGCAATGATGTTTGGGCCAAGTCAAGAGTCCTTTGGCCCCTGGTGTGTATGGGGCTGCTCCCTGTGAGCTGCCTGACCCAGGCCTACCCACGGCCCTGCAGCCCAGCCCCTCACTGCAGGGCTGTGGGAGATGGCAGGCACCTCTGAGAGCCCACACTCTGGCCTGAGCCCTGGTGAGGTCATGGTGGGCAGTGTCCAGCTGTGTCCCCCTGTGTCAGAGCTGTGCTTGAGTGTGTGTGAGCCGCTCAGAGCTGTGTCTGTGTCTCAGCTGGGTCTGAGCTGTGCCCTAGTGTGCAAGAGCTGCTGGCTGCGTGCTGCAGGGCAGGAGCCTTGCTCTGTGCACTTGCTGCTCCGAGAGCCACCCAGGGCCAGCACCATGGCAGGGGCTGCAGGGCATGGAACCTTAGGGCAGAGACTTGGGCAGCCATCATTCCCTGTTCAGTGGAGCAGTGAGGAGACCCGACATCCCCTGCAGCCTTGGCCCCTGGCCCTGGATCTGTGTTGAAAATCTGGTCACGCCACACTTGCAGCAGGGGGTTGGAAATTGTGAAGCTGCCCGTTTAAAGTGCCACTCAAAGCACTGCAACGCCAATGTTGGATGCATTTCTGAGGTCCTGGACAAGGCTTTAGCCTTGGGCAAGACCTTGGATGAGTTTTCTTGGCCAAATCAAGGATTTTTTGGGCTTGTTCATATTAAAAGAAAAAAAAAAGGTTTAATAAAAGAGTGCCATGGTTGGCTCAGCCAGTCCTTTAAGATAAAACTGTGATGCCACACAGCAATCTGGCAGGGTGGGGAGAAGAAAAAGTGGCATCTGCAACAGCAAGAACAGTGTAAAAGGAGCAGAAGTCCCAGAGAAAGGGCTCACTGGGGAAAGGGAAACAGTTTCATGGGAAGGGCATTCAGTCACAGTTGCTTGGCTGATGTGCCAAATCCAGGCAGGCTTTGTTTGGAGCATGTTTGTTGAGGTGCTTCCACTGTCCACTGCTGCAGCCTTTTTCCCCAGCAGCAGGAGGGTCCCAGGGGTCTGATCCCACCCTGCTGTGCACCAAGGGCTTTGGGAGTTGCCCTGTGGCCTGTGTCCAGGCACGGCTGAGGGGGCAGCAGGGCACTGCTGTGATGTGCTGTGCCCGCGCTGGGTATGGCACAAACCGCCCGGCCCCGGCTGTCTCCCCAAAACCACTCAGAGCCCGTGTGGGTCCAGCCTTGCTCAGGGACCCCGGTGTTCCTTACCCTTCCTACCCACTGTGGCTCCAGCATGCAGAGACCTCTAACACGTGAGAGCTGAATTTTAAGCTCCCCAGAGTCTTTGTGGTGCAATTCTAAATTAAATTATATATTTCTCACACAAGTGCTGCAATTATGCAACTCAGCTCCCAGAGAGTGTTTTTAAAGTTTTAAAATTTAATTTTTGGGGGACACATCAAAAAGGAAACCAGAGCAAAATATTTACTCCCTCCAAACCACAAAATTCCAGTGAAGAAGTTCCCAGACACCAGTCTGTTGAAAAAACCCAACTTCTCTCCAGTCTGAGGGACTAAGTTGGCTTTCAGAAAGGAATTTCTTCTTCTTCTTGATTGAGGTAGGTGCCCGTAAATGCACAGCACAACTCTTTTGGGATGTTTTGCATGACAAAGGACAAAAATACAGAACTAACAATCTGCCATCTCTATACACCAACCTTCTGCTGTGAACCTCTGTCATGGTGTAACCCCAGCTGACAACTAAACACCACACAGCCACTCAGTCACACCACCCTCCAAGGGGGATGGGGGGAAAAAAACTTCTGATTTGAAGTAAAACCAGCTTAATAATTGTGATAAAGTAATATGTAATAATACTAATGATAATAATAATTGTAATGAAAAAAAATATAAACTCCAAGTGGAACAAGTGATGCCCAGTATAGGTGCTCAGCACCTGCTGATCTGTGCCCAGCCTGTCTCCCAGCAGCCCCTCACCAGAAGCTCCCCCCAGTTTTACATGCTGGGCAGGATGTTTTATGGTGTGGAATATCTCTCTGACCAGTTTGGGTCAGCTGTCCGGGCTGTGTTCCCCCCCAGCTTCTTGTGCAACTCCTCACTGGCAGAGCATGAGCGACTGAAAAGGCAGGGTAAGCATCATGTGACTGATGGTTTGGTTGTTGCTACCAATATTATTCTCACCCTAAATCCCAAACCCAGCAGTGTGCTGACCATGAGAGGAAAGTTAACTCTAACCCAAGCAAAATTAGGACAGTTTCAGAGGCTCCTGCCCATGGAGAGTAGGAAGTGCCTCACTGGGAGCAGAGAACCCTGAGTTTCCCCAGTCTTGATGCTACCACAGTGGAAGAGGCTTAGGGCAGAGCTCTGGGGGCAACACCTGGGCTTGACCCAGTGCTGCAACTCTGCAGCTCCTGGAATAGAGCAGGGGGAGCAATGTTGCTGCCTGTGCCCAGATGCCACCACAGCAATGACAACTGAAGTGGCAGCAAAGAAGGTCCAACCAGAAAAGTGTTCAGAGATGAAATCTAGCCTGGACCCAGGCAATGTCCCCCTTCACCTACATCCACTTTCTCCTCTCCTAAGGACACGATTTAGCAGGATCCTGTGAGGTGGGACCTTGATGAGGCGATATCAGAGAACGGCAGATCTGTGGCCATTCTTGTGGATTTCTGCCTCTCCTGTGGATTTCAGACGCAGCTCAGCATTGTGCTTTCCTTCCTGGGCTGCCCCTACTGCTGCCCCTGCACTGCTACCAGTGCTCTGCTGCAAGAAATGCGCTTAGTGCACATCAGGCAAGGACAGGCTCTGGATGTGTGGGGAAGATAAGTGTTATCTTGAGTATCCAGCTATGTTTGGGGTTTTTTAACTTAATTGAAAAAAGCCAGAGGCACTATGACAGCACCCTTGGAGAAGCTGGACCCTGCTATATTTTCCATGGCCTTGTACAGAGCAGCTCTGCAGTGCCCTGGCACTCAGTGATGGTCCCTGCTATGGGACCACCGGGCACCAAGCTCCTCCCTGCACCCAGTCTTTGTGCTCCCTGTTGTCCCTGCAGTCCCAGCTGAGGGGTGGGGGGATGAAGGAGGCTCTGTTGTGGCATCCACTTCCATGACCTGCTAGTCCTCTCCTTGGTGGCCAGAGGATCCACACGAGGAGAAGCCAACAGGATGCAGGACCCTCCCAGTTCCCAGCACCAAGACCTAAGGTGATGGCGTTCACCTTTCCAGTCTCTTCCCTGCCCTCCATGTTCCCTCCCTGTCAGGGGCACAGCTTGAGCCACGAGTCCATCCCCACCCAGAGCCACGGGCGCAGCCTCTCCCCAGCACACGAGGCCAGGCAGAAAGCAAAGATTGGGGCTTCACTCTCAGCATCAGCAAAAGTCACCTGCTTGTCTGTGAAGTCCAGGCAGATCTGGATGGCCCTGGGGAGGCAGGTAAGGTGCAGTGGGGTCCAGTCAGGATCACTGAAAGCATGGTACTGGCCAAACCACTGCCCCACGGCCCAGATCCCCTCCTGGGGCGTAAAACTGAGGACCCCCTTCCTCCTGACAGACTCCTGGGCCACTCCCACTGCCCACCAGTCCCCTGCCTCGGCCACCTCCACCTCCCAGCAGTGTCTCCCCGCGGCAAAGCCCTGGCTGCCCAGCACACACGGCTCCGTGTCAAACCGCTCGGGGTTGTTGGGCAGCAGGGTCCACTCGTCCCCCCGTCCCACCCCTCGCTGGTCACTGGCCAGAATGAGGAAAGGGTTGGCGGTGTCTGGGTCCAGAGTCACGTCAGCTGGGGACAGAGGAAGAGAAGCTGTTCAGAACAGGCAGCCCTGGGGCTGCATCCACCCCAGCAAGAGAAGGGACAGGGTGAGTTCCTTTTCCCTGCAGAGGGAAACCCCCCCAGCTGGACTGTCCCTGGCTCCCTGCTACCCCATCCCTGTCCCCACCCCAGGGGCCTGCACACATCCTGAACAAGGGGACCTCTGTTTCCTGGAGGAGGATGGGTGCATACCTGCAGTGCAGCCACCTGGACCTGACCTGGGTGTCTCTGGTGCTGCGAGAGGAGAACAGGCAGGCCAGGGCACAAACCAGTGCTGACCACAGTAGAGGTTACCCCAAGACCCATAACCCATGGCATTCACATTTCTTTTTATGAACAGTGGAGGGGGCCAAGGATGTCAGCTCAGGAGCCTTTGGTGCCGGAGCTGGGTCTACAGATGAGCACCAAGAGTTTAGCTGGAGTGTGCAGCCACCAAGTCCCAGCCCATGAAAAGCCTAGTCTGGGAACAAGCCCCAGTGCTTTGACCTTCAGTAGCTGTCCCACAGCAGAAGTGGGATCCATTTTGTCCTCAAGAGAGGACAGTTCTCCCTCCTCTTCCCTTCTGAAAACTCACCTCTTCCACTCATCTCCTCCACCTCATCAATCAGGGTCTCACTGTCTACTGTCTCCATCCTGGATGCCAGCATGTCCATGGTCAGTCAACAGGAGAGGAGACAGGATTCACTGCTGAAAGTGAGAATTACAAGACTCGAGGACTGCCTGAAGATGATAAACCAGAGAAGGAGTAATGGAAAGGTCACAGCACTCAGCATTTTTAGACAGCCAGGACTTACCTGCTCAGCCTGCAGGTTGGCTCCAGGAAAGCAGGTTTGAGATGGGTTTGAAGGTCTTCAGTCTGCTTCCCACTTCTCTGATCCCCTCATCCACTCATGGCTGGACTGAGCTTGCCCAGCACTTCCAGCTTGTTTGAGTGAGCAAGGCACAGTCCAGAGGGGCTGGAGAGCAGACCTGGGGCTCTGCCACCAAGCTTCCCCCTCCCATCATCTGGGCAATGACCTCCCATGCCCTGAAGCTGCCAGCCCATGTGGGACCTCATCCAACACCTGAATTTGGCAATTCCTCCTGCTCCTGCAGTGCCCAGTCCTGTTTACATCACAGGGTCTGCTGCATCTCCTCTCCCTCAGCCCAGCTGCAGGTGGGTGATAAGAGCCCTTGAGTGCTGGAGGAGTCTGTATCTCCCTGTGCAGGATGCTCAGAGCCCTCTTGGGCCATGGCCCCACAGGCACCTGCAGCCCCTTGGGATGGCACCTGGGGACACCAGCCACAGAGCAGTGGCCATGCTCTGGGTGTCCAAGCTGCATTCTGGGCAAGGGGGAGGTTTGTCTCCTGCCCTTCTGTCTGCCCAGTTCTGTCTTACTGCATGGGTTCATGGTGGAGATGTGTGCAGGGCACGTGCCACCTCGACTGCTCAGCTGGTAAATGGGAAACAGCGTGTGCTGGGCTTGGCATCCTGCCTCTGTTCTCCAGGCAGCTCTTCCTGTGTCGAGGGATGATGGCCTTATTCCCAGTCACAGGGAATGCAAGGCATTCCACTCTGCTTTGTCACATCACTCTGGAAGGCACCAGCTGAGCACAAATAAAGTAGGATGCAAGGGCAGCTGCTGCCAGGTGGCTTTGCACACACCCGCATGAACCTTCTGCCTTGGCCAAGCAGGAAGTGGAGTTCCACTTTACCCATGACCAGTTCCTTTTGCACTCTTGGCATGTCTGACACCTTGTCCTCTCAAATCCTTTCACTCCACATGGCTTTAGTGCTCACATCCTTCCCTGGGCATGTGGAGTTGTCTGGGACATGCAGCTTTGATCCCCAGCTTTGCACACCTGTGCAGGCTGGACTTCCCTGGAATTGTGATCCCATCGTTAAATTATGAGGTTTGATTATTACACTTTCTTTGCTGTCATTTGTTGTTGTTTTGGGTTAGGATTTTTCCTTTTGTTTCTTCCTCTCAGGGAATTTTCTCCCATTTGTTGCTAAAGAGATAACAGCTACCGATACTTAAGAGAGACAAGATATGGCCAAGGAGAAGGGGGAGGAGTGGAGCCTTCTCTCGGGAAGGGCAGATTGACCCGGAGATCTGGGCTGGCAGGAGGGGCTGTAGCTCTCTCTTGTTATGAATAGAAAGCTATCTATTCTTTTTAGGTGGCAGAGTTAAAAACAAGTCAGACCAGTTGTTGTAAGTCAGTTTCACTGCCAAAGAAAAGTTCTTCAATTACCTGTTAATGGCTGGTGATTAACCATTGTCCCCCTGATGCTGGCTGCTTGCCAGGGAGGGACACCAGGACAGACCCTCCAGGTACGAAGAGAATAGGAGTCAGGATTCACTGCTGAAAGTGAGAATTACAAGACTCGAGGACTGCCTGAAGATGATAAACCAGAGAAGGAGTAATGGAAAGGTCACAGCACTCAGCATTTTTAGACAGCCAGGACTTACCTGCTCAGCCTGCAGGTTGGCTCCAGGAAAGCAGGTTTGAGATGGGTTTGAAGGTCTTCAGTCTGCTTCCCACTTCTCTGATCCCCTCATCCACTCATGGCTGGACTGAGCTTGCCCAGCACTTCCAGCTTGTTTGAGTGAGCAAGGCACAGTCCAGAGGGGCTGGAGAGCAGACCTGGGGCTCTGCCACCAAGCTTCCCCCTCCCATCATCTGGGCAATGACCTCCCATGCCCTGAAGCTGCCAGCCCATGTGGGACCTCATCCAACACCTGAATTTGGCAATTCCTCCTGCTCCTGCAGTGCCCAGTCCTGTTTACATCACAGGGTCTGCTGCATCTCCTCTCCCTCAGCCCAGCTGCAGGTGGGTGATAAGAGCCCTTGAGTGCTGGAGGAGTCTGTATCTCCCTGTGCAGGATGCTCAGAGCCCTCTTGGGCCATGGCCCCACAGGCACCTGCAGCCCCTTGGGATGGCACCTGGGGACACCAGCCACAGAGCAGTGGCCATGCTCTGGGTGTCCAAGCTGCATTCTGGGCAAGGGGGAGGTTTGTCTCCTGCCCTTCTGTCTGCCCAGTTCTGTCTTACTGCATGGGTTCATGGTGGAGATGTGTGCAGGGCACGTGCCACCTCGACTGCTCAGCTGGTAAATGGGAAACAGCGTGTGCTGGGCTTGGCATCCTGCCTCTGTTCTCCAGGCAGCTCTTCCTGTGTCGAGGGATGATGGCCTTATTCCCAGTCACAGGGAATGCAAGGCATTCCACTCTGCTTTGTCACATCACTCTGGAAGGCACCAGCTGAGCACAAATAAAGTAGGATGCAAGGGCAGCTGCTGCCAGGTGGCTTTGCACACACCCGCATGAACCCTCTGCCTTGGCCAAGCTCACTGACCAGTTCCACTTTACCCATGACCAGTTCCTTTTGCACTCTTGGCATGTCTGACACCTTGTCCTCTCAAATCCTTTCACTCCACATGGCTTTAGTGCTCACATCCTTCCCTGGGCATGTGGAGTTGTCTGGGACATGCAGCTTTGATCCCCAGCTTTGCACACCTGTGCAGGCTGGACTTCCCTGGAATTGTGATCCCATCGTTAAATTATGAGGTTTGATTATTACACTTTCTTTGCTGTCATTTGTTGTTGTTTTGGGTTAGGATTTTTCCTTTTGTTTCTTCCTCTCAGGGAATTTTCTCCCATTTGTTGCTAAAGAGATAACAGCTACCGATACTTAAGAGAGACAAGATATGGCCAAGGAGAAGGGGGAGGAGTGGAGCCTTCTCTCGGGAAGGGCAGATTGACCCGGAGATCTGGGCTGGCAGGAGGGGCTGTAGCTCTCTCTTGTTATGAATAGAAAGCTATCGATTCTTTTTAGGTGGCAGAGTTAAAAACAAGTCAGACCAGTTGTTGTAAGTCAGTTTCACTGCCAAAGAAAAGTTCTTCAATTACCTGTTAATGGCTGGTGATTAACCATTGTCCCCCTGATGCTGGCCGCTTGCCAGGGAGGGACACCAGGACAGACCCTCCAGGTACGAAGAGAATAGGAGTGACATCAGAGCCAGTATGCAGATGAGAAATGCATTGTGCCCCGAATTTTTACAGTTTTTACAGGAAAAACCCCTAAAATTACGAGCCAACAAGTGACCTAAGTGACGTCTAAGGATGGGAGCGTAGTCCCGTAACTGCTTGGATCCTTTTTGCTTCTCACCCTAACCTGAAAAGATGCTGATTAAAGAGACGCCCCGGAGTGTTAGACAAACAAGCCAGGAATCTGCGACTCTCCCGTGAGGACAGAGTCCCCAGCTCTGTCTGCAGACCAGCGGACAAAGCTGCATCATCCTCCTTCTCTGTGCCACTCCTGGGAGCAACGGCGGCGTGGGCGCAACCCGTCGATTTCTCCCCACCTGAGCTGATTCTTCTTAATAAAGGCATTTAAAAGGAGAAAGACCTCCTGCCCATTTATTTCATCTCTTGTTCTGGACATCAGAGGGGAGACAGGCTGCGCTCAGCGCGGGGAGAAATGGCCTCCTCTGCGGGATGGGCCTCCTGCCTTCTACCGCCAATGAACCTCTGCTCAAGAGCGGCTGTGTCACCGGGACCTTATTACGATAGATATATATATACCGGTAAAGAACTGTTATTCCTTTTCCCACTTCTTTGCCTGAAAGCCCCTTGATTCCAAGATTATAATAATTTGGCCATTCCAAGGGAGGTTCCCACCTTCCTTGGCAGACACCTGTCTTTCAAACCCAGACAGTTGTCCAGGTCTGTGTCTCTGTACCCTTTATTTTTTGCTCCCTTCTTTTTCTTGTACCCCTTTTGGCCAGGTGGCTGATCAGGTCCCTTTGCCCCAGCAGGTGCCCCGTGCCTGGCTGGGCTGGGAGGGTGCTGCACCTAGCTGGGCTGAGCTCCACTGGCACTGCCTTTGCCTCTCTCAGGGCAGCAGATTTCCCCAAAGGAACCATCCTTGATGGCCTCACCTTTCAGCTGGGAATTGCTTTCAAGCCATTTTTAAGCTGCTGCTGGGCTTTGCTGCCACCCTGGCACTGCCTCTGGGTGTGAATCCTGGCTCCATCACCTCCCTCCTTCCCACTGTGCTCATGCCAGGGATGTGCAAACTCCTGCCAGTCCAGGCGGAGCTGTGGGAGGAGGCTGCCACATGCAGCCCTGGAGAGTCCCTGCAGCAGGGGTGTGTCTGTGCTTGAGCAGAGGCATTAACAAAATCCTCCAAACTACTCAGCAACTTTAATTTTGGAGCAGAGGTAACACAGGAGGAAATGGTAGCAAGCTGGGACAGGGTGACATTTTTGTTTCCTTTTCAGGCAGGGAAAAGCAGGGACCAGGGGCCTCTCAGAGGTGCTGGGTGGTGGCTGAGCAGCTCCTCCTCCAGCTCGGAATGCAGGAGAGAGCTCAGGGTCTCCAGCTAGGTGGCATTTTTTGGGAATCTGCAGATGAAAAGGACCCTCTGGCATCTGTCTGAACTGCCCATGGTTTCCACCTCTTGTTAGCAAAGTGAGTGAACAAAAAGGGGGGTGTGAGAGCAGAGCAGAGTCAGGTCCTGTCCTGGCTGGGTCTTGGATTAGTGTTTTGGGTATTTTGCTTCCATTGATCCAAGGCTACTTCCTGCTCTCTTTGAGGTGCATGGAATGAGTCCTGGTTTGGTCAGGACTTCTCCTTCCCGTTCTGCACCTGTTTGTCTCTTAATGCTGAATCAAAAAAGGCAGAGCAGGCTGGCTTTTGCTTTCCCCTGGGGAGTCCCCACAACCTTTTATACCAGTCTCCTACTTTGTGTATGAAACAGTAACCAATCCGACTTAGACTTTTCTAGAAACACATTTCCGGCCAAACCACTACAGTGTATGAAACAGTAACCAACGTCAGGCTGAAGATGGAAAATCAATTTCAACCTGTGGCATCTGAGGTTCTTCACTAGGCTTTACAAAAAGGAGCTGGATTCAGCAATGAATTCCTTTAAAAGTGAATTTTGCCTTCTTTTTTTTTTTCCTTCCCTTGGTTTTCCTCCCTTTTGCCCTTTCCCTCTCCTTCTTCATCTCCAGGTGGTGCTCCTGTTCCCAGCTCCTCTATTCTCTCCTGGATTTTGTCATTTACAGTTTTCCCAGTTCACAAGCAGCACTAGGTAAGAATCCCCTGGATCCCGCTGATCTCTGTGGCACAGCTTCCAGCCTGAGTATCTTCCTGGCTCCCTGTGAACAGCAGAGCTCAGAGCAGGGTCAGCCCTTTCCATAAACCTTCTCCATTTCTGGGAGCACCAGCATCCCTCTGGATCTTGGTGCATCCCTCCAGCCATGGCAGCACAGGCAGTGGAACAACCTCACTGAACCTGGGTGAGGATTAGATGATGCTGAAGGATTGATTATAATTTGCTGCCCTGTCCCTCCCTGGTTTTCTTCTTTCCTGCACGTTCCTGTTTATTACAGTGTCCAGATTGTGTTGGACCCTTTGGAAAACCAGATCAATAATGGAAAAAAGCCAGCAACAACAAATTTAGACTGGGCTCTTATGTTGCTGATCTGAAGCATCTTCTTCAAGGCAGCCCTGGCAAAGGATGCAGCAGAGTACTTAACTCAAAAGTGATCTTGTCAAAAGTGTTAGTTTGCTTTTGTTTCCCTTCAACCAGAACCACTTTCTCAGTGAACTAAGTGGCCAGTTTATGATAAGCCTTTTTCTTTTAAATTTTCAAAGATGCCAAGAGTACCTGAGATGTTTCTACTTTTTTAATAGATGTTTGTAAAGATGAGAAGAGATAAGGATATTTGAATTTTATTTGTAGCCAAGTTGTCACTTGACCCAGCCAACCTCCCAGAAACCTTCCAGCCACTTCCATCATTCCTTGTCCTGCTTTCTGCCTGCCCTGAGCTGCATGGGCACCACTTGTGCCCTTGAGAACCAGGGCTTTGTAGAACTCTCCCGGCAGCACAGGCCAGGGAAGTGGGGAGGGTGGTGGCCTGGCCCCAGCCCAGTGCCCATGCTGCAGGGCAGGGTCCCTGTCTCAGTTTGGAAAGACAGGTGTCTGCTAAGGAAGGCGGGAGCCTCCCCTGAAATGGAAAATGTAACCCCCTTCCCTCCCAATTGTTATAAATTTGAAATTAAGGGTCTCTCAGGCAAAAATGTGGAAGCAGGAATAACAGTTCTTTAATAGGGAAGAAAATAAAAATATAAAAAAAACAATGCAGTAAACCAAAACAACACTGACAGTCAGAACACAGCTTGACACCCTGTTGGTCAGGCTGCTGGCAGCAGTCCAATTGGAATGGTGGGTGCAGTCCCTCTGGAGTGTCAGGTGTGGTTCTGTTGGAGCAGGGATCCTGTAGAAAAGGGTGTAGTCTTCCTCTGAAGATCCAGTGGAATAGGCAGCTGTTCCTCTGGGAAATCCAGCGGAGAAGCTGTATTGCTGTCCCAGGATCTCAGATTATATCCAGGTAGGAATGCTTGGCTCCTCCCTCTGGGTGGAGCATCTCCCAGTGGGATGCTCTAGTTCTTATCAGCCATGCAGGGACATGCCTGTTATCAGCAGATGTCTCTGAGGAGGGAGGAGTGGGTATGGAAGAGATAAACTGCCCACTTAACAGAAGATAACTGCCACACCTCTAACAGATGGCAAATAGAATACATCTTGCCTTGCAATCTGGGACAGTCCCTCTCCCAGCTCCCCTCAGTACCTCTTGTGCCTGGCATGGGGATGCTGCCAGCACGATGACCTGGTATCTCAGTTTTGGAGACAAATTGCAGGAGGAAACACCCTGGAATGAGCATTTCCTCTAGAGGGAAAGGGCTTAAATAACTCTTTTTTCTTCCGCCAATGAGAGAAATGGCTATCAAGGGAAGAAAATAAAAAAAAATGTAAAACTGTTTATTAACAAAGCAAGATAACTGCAAAGCACAGGAAAAAAAAGAAAATTGAACCTTTCACCCCATCCCCACCTTGCTGAGAGGTAAAAAGATGGCAGCTGCCCTTATTTGTCTCTGGGAATGGGGGGAGAAAAGAGTTTCTGAAGTAGCCTGGGAACCTGTTGGATTTCTGGCATGGGTCTTCTCCTCACAGCAGGTGAAGTTGGTGGACTTTAATGTCCCTTCTTTTGCTGGTCTTTCTGCCGTTTGGACTGACCAAGGCTGCTCCTGCAGTCTCCTTGGGCCAAAGAAAAAAACAAATCAAAACAGTTCAAGGAAAAAAACAACCAAAAAGCCTCCGAAATTATTTGCTGGTGAAAAGCCTCCAGGCCAGGGGAAGAAAAAACCAAAACCAAATACAAACAAACCACAAAACAAAACCAAATCAAACCAAACCAAAACAAAACAAACAACCCAGAAGCTTCTTGCCTAAATTGGTGAAAATTAATCCAGCAAAAGCAATCAAGTAGCAGTCCCTGGAGCTGCCGACCAAGCCAGAGAGAAAGAGATTGAACAGAGCCCGTGCCTGGGGCTCCCAGGCTCTGGCCCTGCCCCCTGGCTCCTGTTAAAGATACCACAGACATTCTGGGCATAAAGCAGACTGTTAGGGAATAAAGTATCATAAACCACCCCAACAGCTGGCCTGGCAGCACACGAACAGCGCCAAGCAGCACCTGCTGTGCCTGAGCTCAGGTGCCACAGCAAACTCACGGCTCTCTCTTCCTCCAGGTGTTTCTCTGAGCTCTGCTCAGGGTGAGGGGACAGCCCAACCCCATCACCTGGCCAAGGGCAGGAACGTCATGCTGCCCTGCAGCTCCTCCCCAGAACAGCACACACAGGACACGGAGGTGACCTGGTTTTGGGAGCAGCTCTCACCCTTTGTGCATCACTACAGAGGGGGACAGGACCAGTATGGGGAGCAGATGCTTCAATACCAAGGGCACACTGAGCTGCTGAAGGATGGCCCTGCCCAGGGCAGCACACACTTGAAAATTTTCCATGTCCAACTCTCTGACAGAGGGAATTACACATGTTTTGTTCAACATGGCTTAGATTATGTCAAGGTTAGTGGTAGAGTTCAAGGTGACAGGTCTGTAGTTCATGTCCCTGGTACTTCTAATGTACTTGCTTGCAGCCAGTGTGCTTTTTCCCTGTCCTGCTGCCCAGAAGCAGTTTGAGGTGGCTG